GGAAAGCTTGGCAGGGGTCTGAGAGCAAGAGTGACCTGGGGCACTAAGAGGTGGAGTTTGGACTTGATCCTGAGGGTCACTGAAGGGCTAAGGAAGTTACATGGTAAGATGAGCATCTTCTCACTCCCTGCTGTGCCATCTGGATATGGGAGAGTCAGAGACAGAGGTGGAAGGAGACACAGGTGGAAAAGGACCCGAGCAGGAGCAGCAACACAGTAGGCAGTGTGGTAGTTGGAACTGGACAGCTGTTGAGGACACGGAATAGTTTAGAAGATAAAAAGAACAAGGCAAGGGCCGGATAGTAGCGCAGCCATAAAGTGCAACACTCCATGGCCGACCCACAGGAAGGTTCTGGGTTCCCACTGGACTCCTCCGTGAGTACTCCTGATGTGTTTGTGCCCAAGGCTCAGGGCTGGCTGAGGCTGGGGTGGTTCGTGGTGTGAAGACCCTGCTGGGGAGTGTTCTATTTCTGTCTCTCTCACTCATGGAAGAAATAAAGAAGTCAGCTTAAAAATAATAACAATAATGAGAATGAGATGTGAGGGGAAGAAATGAAGATGAGCCCCAAATGAAGTCATTAAATCGCCTTCCCCTGGCAGCCTGGCAGCCCTGGGTTTCTTGCCCCCTCTTTCCAGTAAAACTTTAGCCAGAACCAACACTGCAGTCCGGGATCAGAAACCCTTTGCCGCAAAGGGGCAGAGAGTTAGTATTTTAGATTTTATGGGCTGTACAGTCTTTAAAAAGCTGAAATTTTTATTTTTTTTACCTTGGCGTGTATGGAAACAGGTGACAGCTTGCCACAGTCTGCCCCTTTTCCCCATCCACACCAGTATGCTGCTGAGAAAAGCCCCGGACTGGAGAGGTCCCTAGTGTCCCTGACACTCTAACGCCTTCCTCATAGAAGCACAATGATTTCCAGTAATAGTCACATACTAGTACTAATCATTATTGTCTTGTTCTTCTGTTTTAAAGTAATGAAAAGAACAGATTTTCATTTGAAGATATTATTTAAATTGAGTATAGCATTTTATGTATTAGCTAAAATGTCACTTTCCAAATGGGAGCTTTTACCTTGCACCCACCTTTTTCTTTGGTAATGCCGGGGGTACTTGCATGTGTGCACACATATTAGAGGGGGGGGGGGGGGGGGGGGGGAC